AATGTGTTCCATAACAGATTTTGTTAGAGTTGTTAATTTGGCAATAGCAGTACAATTTTTATCAAAACTGATTAAAGGGATGAAAATAAAAAAAAAATTGAATTGTAGAATTCAGAATTGACTTGCAACAGCTGGTAACCAACAGTTGAAACAGCCTACTAAAAATGGTCACAGTTTACAGATTTCTCAGCATTCAGAAAGTCTAGGGAAGCAATGACTTTTCTAGTCAGTGTCACCAGTGACACATTTCCATTCTTACTAATGGCAAGACCTCACAGCTAACTTTATCAAACTTTGTTTATTGGGTTAATTGAGAGTCCCACCTAAGCAAACCTTGGCTCAGACCACACAGCCGAGACAGACATGCCAAGATTAGGTAAGTTAGTTCAGTGTCTTTGTAAACCCAACACATTATGAAACCAAACACTGTGTGATCAGGACGTTGAAACTTTCACAGCTATTTCCAGCCACCTCCTTCCCACACCCAAACTCAAGCTTTTTTCATACAATCTCACTTGCTCAAGCAACATCTTTTGGAAGAAAACTTCCTCTGATCAAAGCATGTTATGAAGAAAAGTTGGCAGGAACTGGGCTCTATTATTCACCCTCATAAGTTTCTTCATGTTCACATTTGATGTTTAAAATATTGTCTTTCGAAAAGAATGTTGTGGGGATATTTTTGCTTAACAAAAGATATTAAGTGAAAAATACAGAAGGAAGGAAGTAAAGAAGAGAGCTGAAGGGACTATCTCATTTCACCTTACTCATCTCTCTAAGGATATTTCTGCCTGTGCCATCTGCAGGATGATAAAAACTCTTTGAGGCACAAGCTGCACCTAGATTTCCTACAGTTATTCTACAGCCCTCATCCTAGATGTGCGCAGAATGTTAAATGCCTCAAAAATAAAAAAATATAGAAGATTGAAGTATACAGAAATGAATTCTTATACCTGAAGTCTCTGTCCAGAAATCCAAGAATAAAACTCAGCTTTTAATTCTTCTTTTCAGTCACTTAAAACAGTGAATTAAGAGTTCAACTGTACATCTTTAGTATGTTTTCCACTTTTTAAAAATATTTGTAAGCATCATGTCACCATCTCAACTGAAGCATATTGGCAACAGAGGGCAAGCATGGATTGTTTAAAAAAAAACAAACAAAAAAACCAAACAAAACATCTCTAATACAGCCCATTAACAAGTGCCAAACCAGTAACTGTTCTGAGATACTCTAGTATGGAAAATGCAAAATACATCTGACAAAGACAAGGGTTGATTTCTTATAATGGAGTTACGTAAACTGGATGTTGATTGCTGCAGTATCGCATGGCCACTGATTATACCCCAACTTACACACACATACCTTTAGACAGTTTACATACCTCTGTGTACAAACACAAACATCAGAAGACTAAAGAATAAGTACACTAAATCATAGCATAAGCTAAGGTTGAAAAAGACCTGCCTGACACAATGAAGGCCAAAACTGGGCATGGTACTCCAGATACAACCTCAAGTATGATTGTTGGATGAAGCTCCTCCCTCAACCACTGGCCACACTGGTGGTAATACAGCCCAGTATGCTGTTAGCCTTGACATGAGGGCACATCTGATATTCAACTTTGATCAATAGGAGTCCAAGGCCTTTGCTTCAAAGCTGCTCTCTAGAAGCAGTCAACCCCAAGCCCATATTGATGCATGGGGTTATTCCATCTCAGGCACAGGATTCTGCATTTGCCTCCCCCTCTTTTTTTTTTTTAAGAAAAAAAAAAGAACAAAACCACAAAAAACCAACTTGTATAACATTCCTGTCAATGCATATCTCCATGCTCTTGAAGTGCCTTCAAATAAGTCTTGCTTTAAATGAGACTGACTTCTCTCTCTCCATCTGTTATCAGACATGAACTTGCTGGAATGAAGTGAAGTTGACTACCCTCTAAATTCCCAGATCTTCCTTTGAGTCCTTCTTGAAGCGATTTTACCAATAAAGAAAAGATTTCCCAATGAGAAGGCTCAGTGTTACTCACTTTGCTTCTATTAACAATTTAAGTTGTAAGATCATAAGCCAATTAGATACAGGAGTTAAAGAGACTGGAGTTGACTCAAACAGGTAAAGCAAATCAGGGTGAGTAACATTTCTAGATATAGTACTTTCAATATTTCTCACAAAACAGCATTATCATTTCAATATATAATCAGCTGAAAGAGACGTGCAGGATTTATATCCAGAAAAAAAACAACTGCTGAGGAATCAATCTGTAGTCCTAGTGGAAAGAGAAAAGACAAGAAAAGACAGAGAAGTTAAAGAGGACCAAATGTACTTCATGCTGCACTAAGAAACAGGATGTTCAAAACTCTTCCACCACCTGCTGTTTATCTTGCGGGTTTACCACTGCAGCACAGCTTCTGGAGTGTTTGTCTCTTACTTCTCATCTGTTGTTCACCAAGATGTTTCTCTTGTAAACAGACAGATCCATACAGCCACTATGGCTGAAGAGTGGTATTACTATGAAAGACTGCCCGCATAGCACAGAACAAGAGACACTAAAAACTGTACATATTTCATGAGCCATTCATAAGTTTAAAACCACAGGAAAAGCTTGAAGCATTTATTTGCAAGACAGGACAAAGCAGAAATAATTTAAGCAAAATTTAATAAATAAAGACAAAGATTCTATTTTTGCCTTTTAATAACTTCAGCGTACCATAAAGTCCATTTAGCAAATGGAGGTAACTGTGAGCTAGTCATTTCCAACCACATAGATCCTATGCTTCTTTACAGAAGACAATGCCTGAACATAACAGAATACAAATTCAAGGTAAGTTTAACAACCTCCCTAAAGGGACGCAAAGAAAATCCTTCTATAAATAACAGAATAGGAGTTAAATGCATTTGTGAGTGGAGATAGGCTGCTTGCTATATATCAATGATACCACTAATCTAGTTGTGAGAATATGTGTACACATGTAGGGAGCAGGGAGAAGTATAAATACCTCAGCATTAAGATTATCATAAAACTTTCACTTTGAAAGAGTGGAGGAATCCCAGAACCTCTCTGTATGTGAGTAGCTGCTGTGTATAAGCACTCTGATTAAGGAATTTACGATGGTAAATTAAAGCGTTCCTCCTCAGCAGCACAAGTGAACAGTGAGGGCACCTGCCCTCCACTGTTAATTAAGATGCAGAGCAGTAAACTCCCTACTAATTGTCACTTTTTCCCTACTGCTTGCAGTCACATTAAAGCCATGCTTTTACATTCATAACAAGTGGGTGAACCATTCATTTCCATACCTATACCACCTCTTCTCTTGTAACAGGAGAACTATGTAGGTACATGCCTGCACAGACTTCCTCTGATTGAGGAAGTTATTCAGCTGAAAGAAAACCTCACCAAAAACAAGAGTGTTATCCAGCTAGAGGTTCCCCAATTTTGTTCCTCTACATGGAGATACAATCAGTTAAGCAACTCTATGTGGAGTAAAGTAAAATACAATGGATAGCCCGAAGACTAGAAACCTTCAGAAAAACAGTCCCAGGATGCATTTTGGGTTTTGGGGTTTTTTTTAAATATTGAAAAAAGGAGGTACTTTACATTTCTCCCAAATGGCAGTTGTCTTGAATAAAGAAGTGGGTAGATAAGTACACTTTAGAAAACATGCTTTTTAAAAAGAACCAGTTAATAAAGACTATACATAAAACTTAAATTCTCCCCAGCATCCTGCTCTTACAAGTTTACAAAAAAGGTCTAAATATCAAGGGCCACAGCTTAACAACTGATCAGGGACAAGACTGAAACTCCAATTAAACTCAGTTCAGATCATCTGAGCAAGGTTCTGAGCTCAGATGCTCCACTTCACCTTTGGTGCTTCCTGAGGAAAGTAGTTTTACTGGGGCAGGAGAGGGCAGCCACCAAAGACCAGTCATTTCTACTCTTACCTTTTCACTCCATGCCCACAGACCAGCTGCAAGGAAGGCCACCCCAGCTAGCTAAAACAAAAAGAAAAAAGTGAATTAGAAACACTAATCAACACACTCTCAAACACTTCACTGGTAGCATTATTGCTCAAGTAAAACAAACACTGTGCTCCCAGGCAATAGTAACAGGACATTCCTCCTCATGAGTTAATTTCTTGCAAAAAGGATTTAGAGTGTTTTTATTCCACAGCATTCCT